TCTTTGAGACTCTGCAACACCAGTCACCAAGATCCACATGCTTCATGCAATCCCAAACTATTTTAACAATTGATCTAAGAAAGTGATTATATACAACTGAGAGTTTAGATATTTCTGAACAAGTCTAGCACCATGTCCATAAAGTGGTGGCGAGAAGAGGGGACACCTGTCAGAAATGTGCCAGGGTTCAAGAAAATATCTTTAGGGGTTTAGGGGTGGGAGGCTTCTTTGCAGAAAGTAGAGAGCAAAATTACAAATCGCTATTTTATTGAAAAAAATACAAAGACTAAAACCAGTTCCAAAGCAACTTAAAAGTGCATTTTTTGAACTTTCATTGAAGCAAAATGTGCAACAAGTTCTTCAAAGTCTAATTCTCATGCCAAATCACACTCGATCGCAAGGGTTGCTAAGTAAGACACACTCTTTAAAAAGTCTTGTAAGACATGCTCTTTAAAAAAGACTCTTGTAAGACACCCTAAATCAAGTTTGTCCAAGCATCTCCTTTTCTGACTGGGGGCCCTCAAAATAATCTGAGTACCAAACCTCAGAAATTCTCTCTCCCAGGACTGCATCCATAAAGACTCAATCTGACAAGGCTATTTAGAAAGTCAGATTGAGACTTTCATATGGATGCAGGACATGACTCAAATTTTTAGGTTAATATTTTGGTTTTGCAGCAACAGGTAGTGTTGAGAGAAACTACCTATTCTCTGTTCAATATCCTTATCTTCTATACTAAATTTGTTATAAGTGATATACACCAAGGCAGGGTTAGGGTTACCCTAGCTCAAGGTTTCATCTTTTTACAGTTCAAATTGCCTTTAGAGCAGCCTATTATGTGTTCAATTTTCATTTTTTTTTTTTTTTACTAAATTTGTTATAAAGGTATCTCCACATACTAATTTTTTTAATGATGAATTCAGGGTAGGTGACATCAATTCCAATTTCAAATCATAGCATTGGTTTTTGAAAGGTTTATCTTGAGTACTATTTCTTAGAACACTTGGTAGATGATGTTGATTTTATAGTAGAACCAATATAGATTTTATTATTTTTTTTAAATACTTAGATATTTCTATTGTAATGGTGAGATTAGCTGTTTCCTTATAAGGAAATATTCAGCATTCACTGACTGAGCAACCAATGCCTTTTTTGAAATTTATAGACTCTTTCTCTTAAAACAGTTTTCCAGGAAAATAGGGGTCTCAGGTCTAATAGTTGTTATCCCTCTCTCCAGTATTGATGGGAGTTTCCTTCCTAACCTTTTATTTGAAGTTGTGGAATCTCAACATCTTGATTATGTCTCTCCAGTATTGATGGGTATTGTTTCCTTCCTAACCTTTTATTTGAAGTCATGTGGAATGTCAACATCTTGATTATGTCATTATTTTCTCTTCTCAAGCCCAGTAGCTGTTATCACTCTTTCCAGTATTGATGGGAATTTCCTTCCTAACCTTTTATTTGAAGTCATGTGGAATGTCAACATCTTGATTATGTCATTATTTTCTCTTCTCAAGCCCAGTAGCTGTTATCACTCTTTCCAGTATTGATGGGAATTTCCTTCCTAACCTTTTATTTGAAGTAGTGTAGAATGTCAGCATCTTGATTATGTCATTATTTTCTCTTCTCAAGTCAAGTAGCTGTTATCACTCTTTCCAGTATTGATGAGAGTTTCCTTCCTAACCTTTTCTTTGAAGTCATGTGGAATATCAACATCTTGATTATGTCATTATTTTCTCTTTAAGTTCCATGTGCTATCCATTTTAATTGTTACCATTATTAAAAGTCCTCAAATGATGTTTCTTTCATTTGGTACAGTTCTTTGTTTGTGATTCTGTAGTACTAATCTGCAAGGTCTGAAGAAGGATGATGCTCTCTAAGACCAACAAGGTTCATTCACTGGAAGCCATTTTTAATCATTTATCTGAGAAAGCAGTTGAATAGACCTGACAATTTAGATATTTCTAAATGTATTTGGTACCATTCATGACATCTATATCGAAGGCTATTGTGATAATTGATCCTTATACCAAGGGATTTCAGCTGTTTTATATTTACTAAATCTACATCCTGAATTTTTATGATGGATTCAGGGTATGGTATATTCTATTACGGCTATAATAATAATAATATATATATATATATATATATATATATATATATATATTATCATTATTAGTAGTAGTAATAATCTTATAAGTATAAGAAACTATACTGTTCGGAAAACATTCAGTGAAAAAAAAAGTATAAAAAAGAAAGAACCAAGAACATGTACGTTAGCCGAAAATAATCATCTAGCATTCAAGTCCAAAGCCCAAAGAAAAAAACCTTGATACGAGTACACGAAATAACTAAATAAAGTGCTCAATATAATAAGTACAGCAGACCTAGTTAAACCTAGAGAGCCAGACAAACCTACCACGGTTTCACCTTAGCGTTCAGCCTTCCCTGACGATCTGCTAAGATGAAACTGTGGTAGGTTTGTCTGGCCTTCTGGGTTTAACTATATATATATATATATATATATATATATATATACACACACATATATATATATATATATATTAAAGCAAACACATTAACTTCTTCATTCACTTTAATGATTAAATTGTGACAACAAATTCTATAGGGTGGGAAGAAACTGCATTTGAACCTGCAATACAAAATTAAGGTCTAAGCTTTCTTTATTGATACTCATTGACTTTACTATATTAATAAATGTTTCTGACAATATGGAGAAAATGACAATTAAGCAGAAAACTTTTGCAATTTGGGAGCAAAATTTTGTTTAGGAATTTTTGGCACACAGCCTATTCTATGTTCAATTTCCTTATCTTCTATATTAAATTTGTTCTAACTGATCCATACCCTGAGGTATCTGAAGTGTTTAGTATTTACTAATTCCATATTGTAAACTTTTATGATGGATTCAGAATATGCACCATCAGTGCTTTCATTCCAATACCAGATCATTATTTCTGTTTTTGGAAAGGTTTCTTGAAATACTTGGTAAAGGTTATTGATATTTTGTTTAAGATCATTCTTACCCAACTATGAATATGTAAGTTATTGGCGAAGCCTCCATAATCATTTGCCTTACAAGGGAAAGCAAGGAAGAAGTTTTCTATTTGCTTTACGTATGTAAATGTAAAATAATTCTACTTTTGTCTATGTGGAATTCAGATGATAACATATATTCGTAAATATGTGTGTGTGTCAAGTAGACATTATGCTTGATGGGTTTTCACATATTGATTTGGAAACGTTTTTACACACATACAATTTGTTTTATATAAACATACATTATATTCTTTAAGAATGGATTCAATAATGGTTGGTGATATAATGTTTTTGGCATGTGTTTAGAATTGATAATATTGATATTAGTAATCTTTCAAAGTCGTTTCAATGTAAAGAATTATGTTCTTTTTTAAATTGTAATTTTAATAGTAAAATCAGTTATGGCCAGTTTTGTTCCTGTGTACTATTTGTGAATTTGAATGTTTGTCTAAACATAAATCTTTTTTTATGCTCATAGATACAAGCTTTTAGATTTTGCGATGTCTCTCCAATATAAATGATTTTACATTGTAAGCAATTTATTTGATAACTACCAGTATTTGAATTGGTGTTGGATTTATTTTCTTCCTAATTTATCTCCAATTGATGTGGACGTGGTGGCAAAGATCCTAGTGTTAGGGATAACTACTTTATTTACAAGTTTTGTAGAAAATGCATTATAGCTTATTTGTTACAATTGATCAAGATGTTGAGTTATTTGAAGAGTTTAGTTTTTACTCATTTCATATCTTGAATTTTTCATTTCAATTCCAGATCCTATTTTTTGTTATGGAATGCTTTGTCATGAGTCCTGGAATACTTGTTAGAGGAGGTTGATATTTTGTTCAAGATCATTCTTATCCCAATTATAATTATCTATGTCATCAGTATTATGATGGATTCAGGATATCTACCATCTCTGCTTTCTTGCTTTTCAATTCCAGAGAAATATTGTCTGAATGTTTGAGATAAAGGATTATCATCATTCAATAAGGTATTCAGATTTTTCTTTTTATGTGGTGTGTCCTTTCAGGACGAAGGAGATCATAGCTCTCCACTTCTCCCTATCCCTTGTAGCTCTCAATAAGTCTTGTTCCTCTGCCACCCCTCGTTCCAGACCACGTTCTATCATACACTTGCTTAAACCTGCCAGATATGTCACACATTGCTTTCAGTTGTCTTTCTCTCTATTCAACCCATGAGTATCAAATTCTCCAGGCCCTCCTTCCTCTTTACATGTCCTAGAAAATTCAGCCTCCTCTTCCTGATGTTAAGTATGACTCCTCCTTGTTTTGCACCCTCTCTAAGACCTTATTGTTGCTCACATGCTCAGTTCATGATATCCTCAACATCTTTCTGTAGAAGCACATCTTAAGTCTTCTTCATCTTTGATGCGACCATCCAACATGCACTGCCGTAAAGGAGGACAGATGTCATGTAATAGTTCAGTACTCTTTTCTTTGTTACCAAAGAAATCCTCCTGTCTTGCAATACTCTGCCCAGCTTTTGGAATGCATTCTTGGCCATCCCAATACATCTATGAATCTCAGTGCTGCACTTACCATCCTCTGTCAAAATGCTTCCCAATCCATTTTGTTATTTGAAGACACCAATGTTTCAATCCAAATAACAAAGATGAGGATTTTTGTTTAGATAACTGAGAGGATGATGTCTTTTTTTTATTACAAGTAAGCTATATTCCATATTTTCAACTATTAATCTTTATTTTAAAAAAATGTTTGTTGTTTTATTTAAATGAAAATGTTTAGCAGTTTCTGCTAACATATGTTCAGACAATTTTTCACATGAATTATTTCTTATTGTGTCAAATGTTTTCTTTTTTATTCGAATAGAAAGTGCAATTTCTAAAATTACAATGTATTTATCTATATTCCCAGATAATATAAAATTTGACAGATGACCATTTTTAATATCTGACTTTAAAAGAAATGAAGTTCACTGCCTGGAATGAATCCATTAATAGAGAAGGAAAAGGAATGAGTGGGATAAATGAGGGAAGTGAAGAAAAAAATAGAGAGAGAAAAGGTGAAGAAAAAAGTAAAAAGAAAGTTTAATAAAAAAAATAGAAGCAAAGACGAAAGAAAAAAGAGAAAAGTGATAGAATAAAAAGAAAGAAAGAGGAAAGATGAATAAAATAAATGGGGGCAGAAAGAATGGCAGGAAAAAAGAAGATGAATATACAAAGAAGAAAAAATATGAGTAAAAGAAAGAGAAAAATGAAAAAAATGAAGAAAAACAAAAAAAAGGGAAAGAATAAAAGAAAATTGATCAAAGAAGAGAAGAAGGATATAGAAGAAAAAGAAAGAATAAGGATGAAAGAAAAGGATGGACAAAAGAAGTGATAGAAAGAAAAGAAAAAAGGAAAGAAAGGAAAGAAGAAAGGTGAAGGAATAAACAAGAACAGGAAAGAAAAATGGTAAAAGAAAAATGAAAAAAGAAAAAGGGAAGCAAAGGAAAAAGAGGGAAGCTGAAAGAAAAAGTGAGATGAACAAAAGAAGAAATAAGAAAATGAAAGATGAATACAAAAAGTGAAAGAAGAAAAAATAAGAAAGGTTAATAAAAGAGGAACAAAGAGAAAAAGAAAGAAGACAAAAGATGAAAGAAAATGGGTATAAAAATAATGAAAGGTGAATAAAAAAAAATGTGAAACAAAGGAGACAGTGAACAATGAAAAAGCAAAGAATGAAAGGAAAGGAGGGGATAAATAGATAAAGATGAATGAAAGAAAGAAAAGGGGAAACTGAAAGGAAAAAAAGAAAAGTTGAGAAAAAAAAAATGGAGATGATAGAAAAAGAAAGAAAGAATGAAAGAAAGGAAAGGGGAAGCAGAAAGGAAAAAAGAAAAGTTGAGACGGAACAGAAGAATGAGAGAAGAAAGAAAGAAAGAAAGAAAAAGGGAAACTGAAAGGAAAAAAAGAAAAGTTGAGAAGGAAAGAAAGAATGAGAGAAGAAAGAAAGAAAGAAAAAGGGAAACTGAAAGGAAAAAAAAAAGAAAAGTTGAGAAAAAAATGAAGATGATGGAAAAAGAAAAAAAGAATGAAAGAAAGAAAGGAAAGGGGAAGCAAAAAGGAAAGAAAAGAAAAGTTGAGAAGGAACGGAAGAATGAGAGAAAAAAGAAAGAAAAAGGGAAACTGAAAGGAAAAAAAAAAAAAGAAAAGTTGAGAAGGAAAGAAAAAGAGAAGCAAAAAAGGAAAGAGAAAATGAAGAAGAGAGATGAACATAGGAGAAATCAAGAAAGAGAAGATGCAACTTAGGGAAGAGGAGAATAAAACATTACATATTCCCTACCCACAATCTCTGCCACAAGAAAATTGGTTTGCTCTTCAACTATCCAACCACGGTGACTGAGTGAAAACAGTGAGACAGTAGAAATGGCAAAGCAGGAACTTGTGTGTGTTTGTAAGGGATGAAGTCCTTACTTTGGAACTGACCCATTCCCCAGACAACACCCATCCTGACCAAACACCAAAAACACATTTCACTTCTATGATGAATTTAAAATGTAATGCATAAATCACAAAAAAGATATTATGAAAATCACTTACATAACTTATTTAGGGACAGTCATTTAATATTTTGAAGAAATTATAATGATATATATATATATATATATATATATATATATATATACATAGATAATATTAGTGTAAATATACACATACATATGCAATCATATATATATATATATATATAAATATATAATGTGTATAAAAAATAAATCCAAGAGGATAGAATCCAGGTAGAACTCAATGTCCAGGACAGAGTAAGGATATAATAAAAAGGCTTAAACACTAATATTCCATGGTCATAATTTATTCCATTGGAATCGTAAATATGATACAATTCATCAGACCTAATTGGATTGTATTTACGATTCCAATGGAATAAATAATGTCCATGGAACATTAGTGTTTAAGCCTTATTATATATATATATATATATATATGTATGTGTGTGTATGTGAGAGAGAGAGAGTGAGAAAGAAGAATATGATATATATACATTTCTATATATCACAACAATGATAGGCAATTTAAGGTCAAAGTGAAAAAATTTTGTTTAACGTAGTTCATCTTTCATTTATAATTAGGATCAGTCCATTGTCACTGTAGTAGAAGGAAGTACGCTGAGTCTTATTCTGCCATAGATTACCGTTTGGGAATACCAGGTGCTGTAAGCAATCAGGTTGTTTAACTAATAGAAACTCTCCTGTATTTAAAAGTCAATCAGAAGTAATACATAATTCAGGGGTTTTTGATCCAGTTGGGTTTATCCAAAACTAGAGCATTCTTTGAATCATTTCACAAACCAAACTGCAATCATTGTAGGAAAGTATGAAATGTAAAAAGAGACATTCCTAGATTAGGGTCCAATGCAACAACTACAAGCTGCATTGGTTTAGGTGTTGGTAGTTAACAAGTCTAGCTAGTCTTGTTGAGTATTATTATTGAGCTGTGACTGATTCTCACTGCGTGGTACACGTAAAATTCAACATTAAATAGCCCAGCAAGTGCTGACATGTAAAATATTTTACACAGAATTTTTCCACTTTGTCATTCTTCAGTCTTATATATATATATATAATATAAAAGGCTCAAACACTAATATTCTATGGTTATAATTTATTGTTTTGGAATCATGATCACGATCCAATTCATCAGACTATAAATTCAAAATGCTTTTTGAATTTGTAGATGTAATGAATTGTATTGTCACCACTCCCTGTCATCTCGCAATTGTGGTTCATGGTGCTATTCAAGACAAAATAGTGCAACGGCTTTGGCACCGGATATGTTAAGGTAACCCTGTCCTTCCTCTCAGAAGTTAGAGAGGCAAGACCTCCAAGGCCACAGGTCATTTGAATTCAGAGTTTTCCTTCTCCTAGACATTTTGCCACCCAAAGCTATAGAGGCTCTACGTGTCCTACTATTTTATCCACAGCTGGGGGGAAAGAGATGGATTCATCTTTCCCAAGGTTATTAGCATGTAAATGAATGCAACAAACACAACTGGAATTCAAACTCGGTTCTGAAATTCCTCAATTTGAGCTGCTATCCATTACTCTACCGTGCCTTTAGCATATAAAAATTTTAATTCTTGATATCAAAAATTCAGTCTGTGAGATGAAGTAAGGATCTTTTTTTTTATGTTGAGTTAGGCATTCAGCAATGGTCATGAAATTGAAATTAACATCAAAATGTGCTATTTAGTTGGCTTGAACCAGATCATTTGTACAGAAAAGCTTTCAAGACACGAAGTTATACCAATTCATATGCAACCAGACAGGAAATAATTTGGCTGGCAATTTTTGGCCAAAATTGATGCAACCAGACAGTGAAATAATAATTACCTAAAACCATAAAATGCATAAGTAAATTTTGGCCAAGCATTGTTATTTCCTTTTCTTTTGGTTTTCAGCCATTTGCTGAGATTACAAAGTGTCAAGGTAGATTTAGTGGTGATTTGGCTGCTCAGGTTGAGTCTTGATGGGAGATCATCAGCAAGTATTAAAATATTCCATAGATTTTGCTATATGCAGATGTAAAATAAATATATATATTATGTCTAATAAATTGTCATGTGAATTTACACTATACTAAAAGAGTTTGTGGGAAGAAATCATGCATTTCTTTAAAAAAAAAAAAACACCTTAAAATGTGATATTTCTGTATTTTTTTAATAAAATATATAAAAATTATTATATATATATAACAAATATATTAATATACATATATATATAGTATTATATATATATATATATATATATATATATATATATATATATATATATATATATATATATATATATATATAGGAGACACGGTGGAGCAGTGGTTAGCGGCTTGGATTGAGGAATCAGAGCCGAGTTTGAATTCAGTCGAATCCACTGCATTCACTTACATGCTAATACCCTTGGGAAAGGTATGTATCCTCTTCATCTCCCTCCAGCTATGGGTAAAATAGCAGGACAGACTAGGTTCTATAGCCTTGGATGGCAACTGGTCTAGGAGAAGGACAACTCTGAATTCAAAACCTGTGGAGGGTCGTTTGGGAACCTTGTGGCATGCATTCGGTGCACCAGGTTTCTGTATTCGTCCCTCCAAAAAGTGTGGCTGGTCCTGCACAAGGCCTTCACCACTATAAACAAATCTCATGTGCCGGTGTCGGGATGTCGGTTTCCTGGGGACTTATCGGCCTGACCCTCATACGTCGTCGAACGACAGGAGAGTCGATTATATATATATATATATATATATATATATATATATATATATATATATATATCTCGCTCTATACATATATATGTGTGTGTGTGTGTGTGTAAATAATCAACTCATATTACTAGACTAGTAGTTTGGAACCTAAATAATTAAGAACAATAAAAAAAATACAAGTTAAGCAATAAAAATTACTTTAAAATGCAGCTAAGAATGGTAATTAACAATAAAGAAAGGAAAAGTCATAGTATTAAAAAAAATTCAGTAAAATATAGAATACTCCCATGATGCATCAGGACAAGTATTTTACCATCAAAAGAAATAAAAATCAAAAAAGAAGGCAACCATTTTGGACATTCTCAGGAAAACATGTTGCCACCAACAGAAAAGCAACATTTCTGTATACATATCTTCCTTTTATGTGCCGTGTCCCTTCAGAACAAGGTGATCATGGCCGTCCACATCTTCCTATCCCTTGGAGCTCTTTTGTCTTTTTGTTATTTCTCCCAAACCCTGTACTACCATCCATTTGCTCAAGCTTATCAAGTAAGTTACACACTGCTTTCCTCTGTCCCTCAATCTGCCCTAAGAGTATCCGGTTCTCCAAGCCTACTTTCCTCATTACATACCCCAGAAATTTCAAATGTCTCTTCTTGATGTTAAGTTTCCTTTTTGTTTCCATTTTCTCCAAAATCTTGTGGCTCACTTTTTTGGTCCATCCTCAGGATCTTTCTGTAGAACTAAATGAGATCTTGATCCCAAAATATGGAAAGGAAAGAAATCAAAAGCTAGCCTACCCCATTGCCATGTTAATGGGAGGGGGATCTTGACCTGGCTCGGAAATTAAAATCCAACTATAGTATCGAATCAAATTTTCTAGTCACATTTCTTTACATTTGGTCAAAGATTCCATCAAGTAAACATGCCAAGTGTAGATATTCTGTTACATTTGAATTTCATCCTGTATAGATATATATGTTCTTTAAAATGTAGAATCATTTCTCTGAAATGTACACTGAAATATTTTATTGTTTTTGTCTATGCTTAATATGTTGTATTTCATATACGATTTTGTTTGTCATATCGTAATCCCGTTGTGATCCAGAGATTTTCTTTATTAATCCTAAAAAAAAAAAAAATTCACATCGAAAGAAAATATCATTCAGATAAGGTCAATGCATTGCCAGTACATAAGAACATACCTTTCAAACACTAAGCAAATTATTAAGAAAAAAAAAAAAAAAAAAAAATTACTGTCTGAATTTCTGGGATGAAGAGTTATCATTATTTACACTATTTATATTCAGACTAGTATCCTCATCTTTGTTGTTGTTATCACAATGTTTCGGCCATTGTACCTTCCAGCCTTCATCAGGTGTATATTTACATTATTTGCATTTGAACTAGTAGCCTCATCTTTGTTGTTATTTTCACAACGTTTCAGCTGTTGCGCCATTCATCAGGACAGTGACCAAGTGGATAAACTCATCAGTTTGTGAATTTGGTGACATAGTGTTTGTTTTGTGAAGTACATTGTCTGTTAATAATTAAGTATAACTTAAGATTCAAAGGTAAGATAAAACAGTATTTAATTACAACTGCAAACAATAACTAAGAACTAAAAAGTCAATCAAAGATAATTAACCATTTTGGTGTATACCATGTTAGTAGCACGGCTCAACTTAATGTCTGGTAAATCCTAAATCAAATGCCAAATCATCAATGCACAATAATTCACACTTATTCAACTGGATAGTTCCACTCAATAATCACTCCAGTCAGTAACCTGACACTGCTATTTATACACCTGGGGAAAAATATATATTCATAAGTACATAGTGTTATGCTTGAACCTCAGTGTCAGTAGTTACTCATTGTCTTTATATATGACAGTTCAATCCCTGGGTCTGGCAGTGTGTACTTGCACTCAGCAGATACGGTTAAGTGATTACTGAACAATACTAAATAAAAGCAAGAACTAGACACTATTCCTAGACAGGCAGTTGTAGGAGAAAAGCCTACCCCTATAGATTAAATAAAGGGTTCAGTTCAGATTTCTCTGTCAGTTACCCAGATTGATGTAAGCATAAGGAAGCCTTGATGGCACAACCACTGAAACATTGTGATAATGTAATGTTTCCTTCGTTCAAAATAGCTGAGAATTAGGAAGGCCACAGTTAGAATATCACAGAAACAAAAAGCAAGGTAAAGGAAACAAAGAAGAAGAGGATTATT